GCGCTTACCTGCCCCTCGCTCTTTGGAATTATCACAGATATCCATGAACCTTCCAAATAATTAGTTGTAGTTGGAAGGCCGTTGGTTAGCGCTATCGAGCAGTGCTCAAGCTCACTTCCTTGTCGTTGAATGTCTCAGTACTCCTTGTCAGTCTGGTAATACCAAGAGTCAATAACGGTTATGGACTCTTGGTAATACCTTGTGCACGTATGACTGTTCAAAATCTGGTTTAGTTGGTGGACTCTAACGCATTCCATTGTGCCTGGGAATTAAGGTTGTGCTCGGCTTGATAGCGCTTACCTTCCCCTCTTTGGATTTATCACTAATATCGATGAACCTTCCAAGTTTGAAGGCCGTTGGTTAGTGCTATCAAGCAGTGCTCAAGCTTACTTCCTTCCCCTCTTTGGAATTGTCGCTAATATTTAATGAAACTTCCAAGTTGTAAGGCCATTGGATACATATTAAAATCCAGCACCGAGAAACGCAGACATTATCTTCAAACTTTCCGTTAAGAATTCTTGGCAGGGAGCCTTCCTTCCATTTTGCAAGTACCTGGAGGCGATTATATGTCCAGAGCGAGAATCCGAGAGATAACAGCGACAAAGGGTGCCGACTATTAGGCTCCGGAGGATCATGCCCGCGAAATCATGGAATTATGCTTCCATGAATTCTCGCACTATGCTCGCGAAATCCTCATATAATGCTTTGGCACGCGGGGATACATATTCACTTTGTTGTACTTATGGAGCCCCAAAGTTCGGAAAATTGTGCCTTTTTCGTACTTTCAAGTGGTCACAAGTACAACAAAATACATGCGTATCCCCATACCAAGGTGTCCATGCATGCTAGAGATCAACCTGGAAAAGGAAAAACATTACTTCTTCTATTCATTAGTTGACTTCTTTTGCTTTGAAAGATTTTTTCATTGCCAAATTAGTTCGAGTTACCTTTGAAAACTGTACGGTTCAACTGTCTTCGTAAGCATCATACTCGTCCAACCGATGTCACCCTAACCCTGCGAATTCTCGTAATCAGCTCATCTCTCCCGTAGCTCCAGCTCTCCTTCCATGATGACCGAACATCAACTATACATGTACATCAATTTGTTTAATTATTAGAGTAATATCAAGAGTCCATAACCCATTATTTGGGTTATGGACTCTTGGTAATATCCATAGCATGCACTAGGCCTTGACGCATTATGCTAGCATAATTTTCGCATAATTCCTACCAAAATCGAATAATCGCATAATTCGAGGCAAATTGCATACGAATCGCATAAATAATGGAATTAAGCAAGATATTTACCCCCCGCTCTGCATCATGCCGCACAAATGCTGCTACCCGCGGTCAAGCTTCAGCCGCTCTGAACCTACCCAGAGCTACATGTACGTCTCGTTACGGCCTGAATGCTATTTCATTTTTGGCAGCAGACAGATGGAACATGCTTCCACCTGGATGTCGTCAAGCTAATCCCCTTTCTGCATTTGTCACAAGCACCAAGTCATTCCTAGGGTTCCCAGTAAAAAGGCAACGCCTGTTGGGAGTTCCCTAGTAAAATAATAAATTCTACTACTACTAGAATAATCCGCCTGTTCGCACCAAATTCCATAGAGTTGTACATGTTCTACAAGTACAAGTAGATACACCAGGAAGTCGTAGGTTTACGACTCCCTTGATAACATGTCCAGTCCATTACAATCACATGATCAGTGATGGTCGTAGCTACAATTGTAGGTCGGACGGTGCGTTGACCCCGTTGAACTTTTGCTACTACAGTACAACGCCCTATACAAAAATCCCCTGTTAGTTTGCACAGAACCATCATAATACATTAGCAGCATATGTGAGCCTAATGCGGCATGATATGATAACTTTTAGCATAAAAATAGCATAATTCTGCAATTTTTTCAGCAATGCGAAAAGCATAATTTCACGAAAATATTAGCATAATCCGTCAAGGCCTAGCATGCACAGTCATAGCTGCTAAGATCCAGACGTCATGACTTCGTAACAAGCATCCTTTCTAGGGGCTCCCGTAAGAAGACCATAGCCTATGGCATAGGTCTGTGGGAAACACCCTAGTAAAATAAATAAAATAATAATAATAATAATAATAATAATAATAATAAGAAAGGGTTTGCTCCCCACACCGGAGCTCGCGCTATTCCGCCGACTTTACTTGACACTTGACTGACTCACGACTGCCATCCAGAGCACACGAGAAGTCCATCGAACCTTCGACTCGGCAAACCTGCAAGAAAGCACCACTCCCTGCTCAATACACAGTGTTTCGGGGAATTCACCCCTCATCAGTTGAGCTTGAGTAGGCTGAGGAAGATTGTGCCTGAAGAGCACCACTTATATAGTGCTCTCCAGGCACAAACATCACCAGGGATACAAACTTACAGAGACGCTCCGCTTCCAGCGCGATAAACACCTCGTGAACACCAGATAGCAGCGTGAGTCAGTGTCGCTCCTGGACGGTGAGACCAGACGTTGAGGACCCTCGGTCATTCGCAACGCTGTCACCTCCAAACCAACTAGTCGCAAGCCCGCGCTGGGCACAACAGTACGAAGTAGTGGTTGCGACTTCGGCGATGATTTGTAAGAAAGGGTTTGCTCCCCACACCGGAGCTCGCGCTATTCCGCCGACTTTACTTGACACTTGACTGACTCACGACTGCCATCCAGAGCACACGAGAAGTCCATCGAACCTTCGACTCGGCAAACCTGCAAGAAAGCACCACTCCCTGCTCAATACACAGTGTTTCGGGGAATTCACCCCTCATCAGTTGAGCTTGAGTAGGCTGAGGAAGATTGTGCCTGAAGAGCACCACTTATATAGTGCTCTCCAGGCACAAACATCACCAGGGATACAAACTTACAGAGACGCTCCGCTTCCAGCGCGATAAACACCTCGTGAACACCAGATAGCAGCGTGAGTCAGTGTCGCTCCTGGACCCCCCGCCTACTCAAGCTCAACTGATGAGGGGTGAATTCCCCGAAACACTGTGTATTGAGCAGGGAGTGGTGCTTTCTTGCAGGTTTGCCGAGTCGAAGGTTCGATGGACTTCTCGTGTGCTCTGGATGGCAGTCGTGAGTCAGTCAAGTGTCAAGTAAAGTCGGCGGAATAGCGCGAGCTCCGGTGTGGGGAGCAAACCCTTTCTTACAAATCATCGCCGAAGTCGCAACCACTACTTCGTAATAATAATAATAATAATAATAATAATCTGCTGTTGGAATTGGCTGCTGTTGGGAAGTGCCAATTCCAACAGCAGCGCCCGTTGGAGCAAACAGACCCGACATTATTATCAAGGGCAAAGATGAAGCGTTTCTTGTGGACGTAAGTGTCCCTCTGGATAGGAACATCCGCCGAAAATCTGTGGAAAAGATACAGAAATATCAAGGCCTGAAGCGTGAGGTGGAGCAGATGTGGCAGGTGCGGGCCAAGATCGTGCCAGTAATTGTGGGGGCATTAGGTGGATTAACCCCCTCGACTGCTGACTTTGTGAGGGAACTGGATGCCGGAGCCAGTGTATCGATCTTGCAAAAGGAGGCGCTCCTTGGCACAGTTGACATCATCAGGTCAATAACTCAGATGAAATAATAATTACACTCTAAAAGTTACATTGGTTTGCGAATGCCCATGGTTCGAACTATTAGTTGAAGCACCTATTTGCAGAAAATAATTATGATCGTAATATTAATCACTTGCCAATAACAAAGACAACCATAATACCATCAGCCCCCATTCACCGGTTTTGACGGTGCTTCACTGATGTTGAATGAGAAGAATTATATTGCTGCCTTCAGTGCTATTGTGTCGCTGAAGGGCTCGATTTCAGATTTGATGACGGTTACTTTTCAACGGATTTTGTTTTCTGATTTAGCTCTCTTGCTATTACTGTACCTGCTTGTGTTAAGTCTCATTCTCGCAGATTAGTTGTATAATAGATTGTACATGCATCATTGTAGATTTGCTGTTCACAGTATTTCTCTCTTTTTTCTTTCTTTTTTCTCAGTCTCCCTTATTATATTTTCTTCACATACAACAGCAGTACTCCCCATGGTCTTAAATGACCCGGGATGCTGCATAATACAAACACAAAACCAATAAAGCCACCCCCATATAATAATAATAATAATAATAATAATAATAATTCCCAATCCTTTCCAAATTTAATCACTTTCTTTCACCTCTGGTAGTTTCCAGAAACTGACCGTGGTTGGTCCCCTGGGGGAGGGAAAAAGACCCAAGTGCCATCAGTATTATAGCAATAAAAACTGCTTTATGGCAGTTTTCTAAAAAAAGTTATTGTGTTCTAGTCCATGGACCCCGTCTAAAAAGTAAGAAATTAACGAAATGTGATAGCTGAAAATTAAAATTTCACACAAAACCTCACAATAATCACAACACTTGAAATGCTGCTTTCAACACTAAACTTGTACTCCACCAACAATTGGCAACATGCATGCATAGGAAAGAGGATTACGAGGAGAAAAGGTCTTCTACATGTTGCTTTTCATTCTGTGTGTGATTATTGTGAGGTTTTGTGTGAAATTTTAATTTTCAGCTATCACATTTCGTTAATTTCTTACTTTTTAGACGGGGTCCATGGACTAGAACACAATAACTTTTTTTAGAAAACTGCCATAAAGCAGTTTTTATTGCTATAATTTCTTCTGTTTTTTCTGTCACCAATCAATGAAATGCCCTATCAATATGTAAATGATGGCCTTCACATCATATCAATACCGTATTATACGCATTGATGTGCAAGCCTTTTCTTGCAGAAAATGGGACTAGCATGTTCTTCTGCGGGGATACATGTGAGTAGTGGTGGACCGTGGTGATACCTTTTTATACGGAGGTCATTCTGTGCATGTTGCTGTAGCAGAATTTCATGACTCTGTGATAAAATTGTCTTGCCTTTCAGATATTTCAGATTTCCCCACCCTCGATCAGATTTAATTGAGAAATGTAACCAGGTGCGTGTCGCAGATGTTTTTGTTGATTCTGTGTTTATAATGGTTTATAATCATGGGTTATCGTGATAAGGTCATCCTGCACCATATTGCACTGAAATCGTAACCCTGTTGATGTCGATACAACTTTTGGAAGTAGTTCAATGACTTCGAACTGTTAGTCCACGATTTTCTAAAACAACACAGCAAAGGAGGAACAATAAACATGTATTAAAATGTAAACAAATACATTGCTGAGTCCGACACCTCGTTCCAACAACTACACTGATCCTGAGGATAAAAGGGGCAAGGCTATGGTTGGAGGTACTGAGAGATAAACAAGGCACTCCATAATAATAGAATCGTACACATTTTTGGTGAGTATGAATGATATCCAGTCGAACCTCTTTAGGACGAACACCAAGGGACCGATGATATTTATTCTGTGAGTTTGTCTTAACCTATTTTATAACCAGTGAATACAATTATTTCTCCAATAGACATACGAATAGATTTCTTCTACAGCGAAAGATTCTAAGCCACACCAACTCATTGACTCGTCTCGTATGAAACAAATGAGTCACTAGAGAGGTTCTGCAAAACGAAAATGAGTACAAACAGTCGTTCCACGTCCTGAAGTGCGAAACTTCGCACGAACTTTCGCAACTTTGGACGCGAAACTTGCAGGGAACGCGAAATGAATAGTCGTACACACTTTCGTGAGATCGGGTCATGGCGTACGTGCACTTGGCCCGCGCAAACTACGAAAACGTGCAGAACGCAAAGTTTGTGCAAAAATTCGTACACACTTTCGCAATGACTGTCGCGAAACTTCGTTCGAATTTTCGTTTTGCAGAACCTCTCTACTGAACGTTTCTTTAGCAACATGACGGCAACTGAAACAGCAACAGAGAAAGTACGATACATGTACAGCACATTCTTGCAGGTACTACAAACAGATTGCAGATCGTAATTCTTGCCTTGGCGGCACGAAACATCATTTGGGGCAGTGCAATCTCGGCGGAACTCACAAATAATAAATCAAACAGCCCAGACTCGAGTAAACAAATCTAATCATACAAGTTTACTGAACCTCTCCACAATGGAGATTTTCCCTGATATGCGAATTTATTTTGCAAACTCGGTCAATGGGTCCTTGAACCTTTCCCTCCAGATTGGGAACTGCCAACGATAGTATGCCACTGACCAGTGCCTTACTTGTAACGTACCAATGTACAATGAATATGAGTATTTCGACAACACATCTAACATAAGCCTTACCGTCAAGAAGGTGAACTCGCGTTCTTCGCACACTGTAGACAAGGGCAAAGAGATAAAAATGGATCTAAATCCGAATAAAATCAGCACACGTTTCCGTAAATGAAAGGGTGAGCATAAGCAAATGAATCGAAGGAAACCGGTCAACTCAGAGATCACCTGTCATCGAGTATTCCGTAAAAGGGGGCCTCGGCAGCGGAAAAGCTAAATTTAGAAAAGAGATCCTGCCAGCTTTTCCATTATTTATTGCATTCCGCCCAAAATGAGCACACTTTTAGTAAATGAAAGAGTCAACACAAGCAAAAGAATCAAAGGTAACTGGTCAACTCACCTGTCGATATTGAGTAATATTCCGCGAAAGGAGGTCTCAGCAGCGCCGAAACGAAATAAGCCAGGCCAGGATCTAGGAGACGAAATATCCGAAACAGCTCATACAAGAAGCAGTTCCAAAGGAGGAAGTTCCTCGCGCATGCACATCCGAACACGGACTGCATGCACTGCATGCAACACAATGTCTGCCGTGCACGTGCACAGCACGCGGCTACCAACCGTTGGTAGATCTATACCGAGCACCTTACGTAGAGACTTACGTAGCCTAAGTGAAATACCGAGCACCTTACGTAGAAACTTACGTAGCATAGCGGTGTCGTTTTTCTTGCCATGTGAACACAATAGGGAGGTTCTGCTCTACGTTTTGGGAACGCGACGCAAAGAATCACGCGAACTTTCTTCGCGTTCCCGTAACGTAAAGAAATGCTGTTCTGCTCTACGTTTCACCTAGAGAAGTCACGTGGAGTGCGTACTGGGACTTTCCCCTTCCATATTTGGCAGTTTTCTGCCTGCAGTTGATCGATACCCAGCAGATCCATACGCATTTTCTCTGCGTGTGCCACAACGTAGAGAACCCCATCTCCGCGTAGAAATCTGGAGCCAAAACACGCGAAGCCGTAGACTCTAACCCAGACACCTGCTCTCTACGTGATTTCTCTACGTTTCACGTATAGCAGAACCTCCCTAATAATAGAAAAGCTGACAGGATCGCTTTTCTAAATGTGTGGCACGTGTTGTGAGCTGCCTTTGGAGTGAAAAACTTGTCAGCGCCTTCTGGGTTCAGCCTGGTCCCATAGCTCAGTGGTTAGAGCATTGCTCATGACAAGCAGGGTCCCAGGTTCGAGTCCTGGTGGGTCTGGCGCTTTTTTCTCTTTTCAGGCAGTTCACTTCCCCGACTGATCCTTTGAATATGAAGTTCTCCCAATCCTTTCCAAATTTAATCACTTTCTTTCACCTCTGGTAGTTTCCAGAAACTGACCGTGGTTGGTCCCCTGGGGGAGGGAAAAAGACCCAAGTGCCATCAGTATGTGTGGCACGTGTTGTGAGCTGCCTTTGGAGTGAAAAACTTGTCAGCGCCTTCTGGGTTCAGCCTGGTCCCATAGCTCAGTGGTTAGAGCATTGCTCATGACAAGCAGGGTCCCAGGTTCGAGTCCTGGTGGGTCTGGCGCTTTTTTCTCTTTTCAGGCAGTTCACTTCCCCGACTGATCCTTTGAATATGAAGTTCTCCCAATCCTTTCCAAATAATAATAATAATAATAATAATAATAATAATAATAATAATAATAATAATAATAATAATAATAATAATAATAATAATAATAATAATAATAATAATAATAATAATAATAATAATAATAATAATAATAATAATAATAATAATAATAATAATAATAATAATAATAATAATAATAATAATAATAATAATAATAATAAACTGGTTTATTATGTACTATTATGTGAGATGAAATAAAACAGGAAAGGGCACAGGCCCTGATACGTGCAAGGGATAGCAATCAACCTTGCACATGTGTTCTAAATACATGTAAATGTAAATGCAAAACAATTAAAAACAAAAACACAAACAATGAGCAATAACTTCAGGACTGGGCACAAGTCCGTATAATAATAATAATAATAATAATAATAATAATACGAAGTAGTGGTTGCGACCTCGGCGATGATTTGTAAGAAAAGGGTTTGCTCCCCACACATATTGAGCAGGGAGTGGTGCTTTCTTGCAGGTTTGCCGAGTCGAAGGTTCGATGGACTTCTCGTGTGCTCTGGATGGCAGTCGTGAGTCAGTCAAGTGTCAAGTAAAGTCGGCGGAATAGCGCGAGCTCCGGTGTGGGGAGCAAACCCTTTTCTTAATAATAATAATAATAATATTAACTGGTTTGAGGGAAAGAGACAAACGGGAAAGGTCTGAAGAAAAAATTGACTGTCACCACCAGGACTCGAACCAGGGACCCTCGCTTGTAGCCAGCGATGCTCTAACCACTGAGCTATGGTGTAGTCGTCATCCCAGCAGAGGCCGTTCAACACTTTCTTCAGACTTCGTAACTCACACTTCCTGTGAATCTACACAGGCGGGTGGGACGCAGCCCTCACTGTAACCCACACACTTCACGTACAAACTAGCACGCGGGGAGCCCCAAGTCATAAAATATTAACTGGTTTGAGGGAAAGAGACAAACGGGAAAGGTCTGAAGAAAAAATAATAATAATAATAATAATAATAATATTGACTGGTTTGAGGGAAAGAGATATAATAATAATAATAATAATAATAATAATAATAATAATAATAATAATAATAATAATAATAATAATACGAAGTAGTGGTTGCGACTTCGGCGATGATTTGTAAGAAAGGTTTGCTCCCCACACCGGAGCTCGCGCTATTCCGCCGACTTTACTTGACACTTGACTGACTCACGACTGCCATCCAGAGCACACGAGAAGTCCATCGAACCTTCGACTCGGCAAACCTGCAAGAAAGCACCACTCCCTGCTCAATACACAGTGTTTCGGGGAATTCACCCCTCATCAGTTGAGCTTGAGTAGGCTTGCGACTAGTTGGTTTGGAGGTGACAGCGTTGCGAATGACCGAGGGTCCTCGACGTCTGTCTCACCGTCCAGGAGCGACACTGACTCACGCTGCTATCTGGTGTTCACGAGGTGTTTATCGCGCTGGAAGCGGAGCGTCTCTGTAAGTTTGTATCCCTGGTGATGTTTGTGCCTGGAGTGCACTATATAAGTGGTGCTCTTCAGGCACAATCTTCCTCAGCCTACTCAAGCTCAACTGATGAGGGGTGAATTCCCCGAAACACTGTGTATTGAGCAGGGAGTGGTGCTTTCTTGCAGGTTTGCCGAGTCGAAGGTTCGATGGACTTCTCGTGTGCTCTGGATGGCAGTCGTGAGTCAGTCAAGTGTCAAGTAAAGTCGGCGGAATAGCGCGAGCTCCGGTGTGGGGAGCAAACCTTTCTTACAAATCATCGCCGAAGTCGCAACCACTACTTCGTACTGTTGTGCCCAGCGCGGGCTTGCGACTAGTTGGTTTGGAGGTGACAGCGTTGCGAATGACCGAGGGTCCTCGACGTCTGTCTCACCGTCCAGGAGCGACACTGACTCACGCTGCTATCTGGTGTTCACGAGGTGTTTATCGCGCTGGAAGCGGAGCGTCTCTGTAAGTTTGTATCCCTGGTGATGTTTGTGCCTGGAGTGCACTATATAAGTGGTGCTCTTCAGGCACAATCTTCCTCAGCCTACTCAAGCTCAACTGATGAGGGGTGAATTCCCCGAAACACTGTGTATTGAGCAGGGAGTGGTGCTTTCTTGCAGGTTTGCCGAGTCGAAGGTTCGATGGACTTCTCGTGTGCTCTGGATGGCAGTCGTGAGTCAGTCAAGTGTCAAGTAAAGTCGGCGGAATAGCGCGAGCTCCGGTGTGGGGAGCAAACCTTTCTAATAATAATAATAATAATAATAATAATAATAATAATAATAATAATAATAATAATAATAATAATAATAATAATAATAATAATAATAAAAGGGTTTGCTCCCCACACCGGAGCTCGCGCTATTCCGCCGACTTTACTTGACACTTGACTGACTCACGACTGCCATCCAGAGCACACGAGAAGTCCATCGAACCTTCGACTCGGCAAACCTGCAAGAAAGCACCACTCCCTGCTCAATACACAGTGTTTCGGGGAATTCACCCCTCATCAGTTGAGCTTGAGTAGGCTGAGGAAGATTGTGCCTGAAGAGCACCACTTATATAGTGCTCCCCCCCCCCTTTTCTTACAAATCATCGCCGAGGTCGCAACCACTACTTAATAATAATAATAATAATAATATTAACTGGTTTGAGGGAAAGAGACAAACGGGAAAGGTCTGAAGAAAAAATTGACTGTCACCACCAGGACTCGAACCAGGGACCCTCGCTTGTAGCCAGCGATGCTCTAACCACTGAGCTATGGTGTAGTCGTCATCCCAGCAGAGGCCGTTCAACATTTTCTTCAGACTTCGTAACTCACACTTCCTGTGAATCTACACAGGCGGGTGGGACGCAGCCCTCACTGTAACCCACACACTTCACGTACAAACTAGCACGCGGGGAGCCCCAAGTCATAAAATATTAACTGGTTTGAGGGAAAGAGACAAACGGGAAAGGTCTGAAGAAAAAATTGACTGTCACCACCAGGACTCGAACCAGGGACCCTCGCTTGTAGCCAGCGATGCTCTAACCACTGAGCTATGGTGTAGTCGTCATCCCAGCAGAGGCCGTTCAACATTTTCTTCAGACTTCGTAACTCACACTTCCTGTGAATCTACACAGGCGGGTGGGACGCAGCCCTCACTGTAACCCACACACTTCACGTACAAACTAGCACGCGGGGAGCCCCAAGTCATAAAATATTAACTGGTTTGAGGGAAAGAGACAAACGGGAAAGGTCTGAAGAAAAAATTGACTGTCACCACCAGGACTCGAACCAGGGACCCTCGCTTGTAGCCAGCGATGCTCTAACCACTGAGCTATGGTGTAGTCGTCATCCCAGCAGAGGCCGTTCAACATTTTCTTCAGACTTCGTAACTCACACTTCCTGTGAATCTACACAGGCGGGTGGGACGCAGCCCTCACTGTAACCCACACACTTCACGTACAAACTAGCACGCGGGGAGCCCCAAGTCATAAAATATTAACTGGTTTGAGGGAAAGAGACAAACGGGAAAGGTCTGAAGAAAAAATTGACTGTCACCACCAGGACTCGAACCAGGGACCCTCGCTTGTAGCCAGCGATGCTCTAACCACTGAGCTATGGTGTAGTCGTCATCCCAGCAGAGGCCGTTCAACATTTTCTTCAGACTTCGTAACTCACACTTCCTGTGAATCTACACAGGCGGGTGGGACGCAGCCCTCACTGTAACCCACACACTTCACGTACAAACTAGCACGCGGGGAGCCCCAAGTCATAAAATATTAACTGGTTTGAGGGAAAGAGACAAACGGGAAAGGTCTGAAGAAAAAATTGACTGTCACCACCAGGACTCGAACCAGGGACCCTCGCTTGTAGCCAGCGATGCTCTAACCACTGAGCTATGGTGTAGTCGTCATCCCAGCAGAGGCCGTTCAACATTTTCTTCAGACTTCGTAACTCACACTTCCTGTGAATCTACACAGGCGGGTGGGACGCAGCCCTCACTGTAACCCACACACTTCACGTACAAACTAGCACGCGGGGAGCCCCAAGTCATAAAATATTAACTGGTTTGAGGGAAAGAGACAAACGGGAAAGGTCTGAAGAAAAAATTGACTGTCACCACCAGG